AAAACACCATAAAATAGTTTTGAAAGTTGTGAGTTGTGAAAATTATGTGATATAGTAGGCCTACCTTTATACATTGAAAAAAACTTTTTTCAATGATAAATTCAACCTAGCAATTTCCTTGACTAAGGTCTGTTGTTACATATTGCATAAAAGCTAGTTTTTAAGCCCTCATTTAAGTATGGCGAAAAATAGCGTGAAATACCATATCAATTTATTTGCATACTCTTTTATGATGCTTACATTGCAAAGCTTTGAAAAAATTTCATTATTTATTCACAGAGTCACACATTGCATTGTTGCTTAATACATTTGATTGTGACAGGGACAATTAGTCATTTAGCTGAACTTTAGCTTCTTAACGTGAGCTTCAGTTTGAAGTTAATTGACTGTATTACTGTATTTTTGTTTAATATAAGCTTGACTTGACTGAGGTTAATTAGTTCTACTGCAGACCCCCTTGTTAAAGATCCCTGCATTAAATAATTTATAGACAATTACCGGTGAACCAGAAACTTATTTGAAATGTAGCCTACATATTTTTCAATAGTCATACATTATTTTCTCTCATTTCTCCTTTGGTACTTACAAAAATACGTGTGGGGTCAAAAGGACAGTCATTGGCGATGGTTAGGTGACTCCTGCCATCACTATAGTCGCAGTAAGCGAGTAATCTCTTGTCGCCATGAATGATGGTCTTTACCAAGCACACCATCAGTCCAATGACTGAAGCGGCAGCCACTAGAACAGCTACAGCACTTGACACAAACAGTGACCAGGTCTACAATAAAAGAGAGCTGTTTTAGCAATATTAGCAAAGAACAATCAACTCAAGTGCCAGGCAAAGGATTTGTCCTTGCAGGCTTCTCTGTATCACAGGGGTTTTGTCAATTCTGAGCTGTGAAGGCACTTGCAAGCTCTCTGACAAGCCAGTGATCAAACGCTAGTGAGCTCGACACAAGTCCTGATGAATGAGAGAGGAAGCAGGTGTGTGCAACTGAGACAGAAAGACGCAAGAGAGAGAGAAAAACGTACAGAGAAAACTGACAGAGAACACACAAACACATAAATCAATGACAACACTTTCGTGGGCTTGTTCTCTTTGATTCTTGAAAGAAACTTTTTGAAGTTGCTCAGGTATTGGAGCAACCATGGTGAACTAGCATTGGAGGAAATTTGCATTTAATACAAATCCAGGTTTATCTAAAGCACAGGTCTATGCTATTAGAACATGATGTTCATGAAAAAAGGGCTGAATTTCATTAAATACAAAATTATGAGTTATGCTGAAACTCTCATTACATTTAAAACATTTAATAGTACAAACATATAATATAGTAATAGTAGCAGTATGGTATTAAAAGATGTACAGTTTAAATTGTAAATGTACTGGAAATTTTTACTTACCAGCCCCCTATTCTTCCTGTTTTTGGACAGAACAATAGTCAGTATACCAATAATGACACCCTATGGATAAACATAACAGCACATTATTCCGATTTATTCTTGGCCCCAAAATTATTTGAATGCACATATATTAATAAAATACCCTCATTTCAAAATGAATTAATGCCATTGCTCTAAAAAAAATCATGAAATGAAAACAAATAGAAATTCTTACAGATCAAATAGCACAAGCATATATTTCAAGT